TCTTTGTTTCTGTGAGAGGTCACTCAGTATTATAGACTCTAGTTGCATCCAGGTTGCTGCGAAATTCATGATTTTGTTCTTTTTTATGAATTTGGCCCTTTTTTATGGCTGCGTAATACTTGGATGAACTTAGAGTCTATAATACTGAATGATCTATCACAGAAACAAAGAACTGAGTACCACAAGTTCTCACTCATAAGCAGACCTTGAACGATTATCATAATGCTATAAGAAAGGGATTGGTAGTAGTGGGAAACTGCCGGGGCAGGGGAGAGGTGGGATTGGCAGTAATGGGAAACTGCCAAGAGAGCGGGAAGGCACACCTCATCAACAAGGGTACCTGCATAATGAACATTTGTATACCTAACCCTGAATTGTACCCCACATCTTTAAAACAAAAAATATTTTAAAAATGCAAAGTAAACTATAGATAGGCTGCACACACATTCCCACAGTTGTAGGTGTGTGGTGGAGAAGCGAAAATGAAAATCCAAATAAGATGAGACAGATAGATGTGAAATTTTTGGCTGCAAAATGCATAATTATCAAATCATCTTGGTAGAGAATTACAGAGCTTTGGAGTTGAAAGGAAACTTGGGAGTAATCTTATCTAACTCCCCACAAGGATCCAGAAGGAACCAGATGCTAACAGCGTTAAAGGCTCCTGTGAGCAGACATATCCAGACTCTAAACTAAACACGTGTTATGATAACAAGAATGTTCCTTCTTGCAAGTCTACTCAGGCTTAACTAGAGTATGGGAAAATCCCAGGAGGTAGCAGAAAACAAAGATGGCTTCTTCACTTTGAGTTTCCAATATACGAGCAACATCAGCCGCATATGGTTCTAGACAGAACGCCTCTCAGTGGGTCCACTGTGATCCAGAAGCCCTGAATAGCAACCTTCACAGCTTTTCAGCCTGAAAGTGCCAACCCCATAGGTATGGCTGGGGCTAGCCATTCAGAGCGGTGGTTGCTGAAGGCTGGGGTGGCTGTGGCAATTTCCCAAGATAAGACAGCAATGAAGTTCCCTGCATCATTTGTCTCTTCCTTTCTCAAAAGATTTCTCTGTAGTATTGGATGCTGTTGATGGCATTTTCCTCACAGTAGAACTTTCAAAACTGGAGTCAATCCTCTCAAACTTTGCTATTGCTTTATCAACTAAGTGTAGGGAATATTCAAAATCCTTTGTTGTCATTTCAATAATGTTCACAGTCTCTTCACCAGAAGTAGATTCTATCTCAAGAAACCACTTTCCTGCTGATCCATAAGAAGCAACTCCTCATTCATTCAAGTTTTATTATGAGATTGCAGCACTTTAGTACACTTCCAGGTTCCACTTCTAATTCTAGTTCTCTTGTTATTTCTACCCCATCTGCAAATACTTCCTCCACGGAAGTCTTGAACTCCTCAAAGTCGTCCATGAGGGTTGGAGTCAATCTTTTCCAAATTCTTGTTAATGTTAATATTTGGACCTTCTCTCATGAATTATGAATGTTCTTAATGTCATCTAGAATGGTGATTCCTTTCTATAAGTTTTCGATTTACTGTGCCTACAGCCATCAAAGAAATCACTATCAATTGAAGATATAGCCTTATGAAATGTATCTCTTCAATAATAAGACTTGAAAGTCAAAATTACTCTTTGATCCATGGGCAACATAATGGATGTTGTGTTAGCAGGCATGAAAATAACATTAATCTCTTTGTATATCTCCATCAGAGCTTTTGGGTGACCAGGTGCATTGTCAATAAGCAATAATATTTCTAAAGGAATCTTTTTTTCTGAGCAGTAGGTCTCAAAAGTGAGTTTAAAATATTCAGTAAACCATGCTGTAATCAGATGTGTCATCCATGCTCTGTCATTCCATTTATAGAGCACACACTGAGTTAGTATAACTCTTAAGAATCTTAGGATTTTCAGAAGAGTAAATAAATGAGCACTGACTTCACCCTAAACTCACCAGCTACATTAGTCCCTAACAAGAGAGTCAACCTGTCCTTTGAAGTTTTGAAGCCAGGCAATGACCTCTCCTCTCTCGCTGGAAAGTCCTAGATGGCATCTTATTTTAATGTTTTTTCTACATTGAAAATCTGTTATTTAGTGTAGCTACCTTTATCAATGATCTTAGCCAGGTCTTCTGAAGAACTTGCTGCAGCTTCTCCACTTGCTGCTTCCCCTTGTACTTTTATGTTACAGAAGGCATGTACAACCTATGGCTCATGAATAGCTAGTAAAGAAGCCTCACAAAAATCTTTAAACATTTTAGCAGCTATTTTCTTCATGACACCATGTGTAGATTTTTAGCAACTGTTTTCTTCATGATACCATGTGCAGTTTCATTTTTGAAGTTCACAATCACGTCTTATTCATACATCACTTTTTGGCAGCACATACATTTGTGAGCTGCTGTTTTTAATTATGAAGCACACAAAGAGCAAAATCCAAACACACATTTCTGATGAGCACCTTGAGAACTTCTAAAAATTGCAACTACTTCCATTGAACCAGACATTGATAGATTAGTTTTACAAAAACAAGGCTAAATTTCCCGCTAGTTGTATATGGTTCTCATTATCTAAACTTAATAAAAAGTATTTAAAAAATAAATCTTATTATGTATACACACTAACTACATTATATAATTTATGTGTGGTCCAAGACAATTCCTCTTTACTCAATGCAGCCTAAGGAAGTCAAAAGGTTACTCAATACGGCCCAGGAAAGCAGAAAGGTTTGACACTCCTGTGCTACAGAGACGGCGTCTTTCCTTAAACCTCATGAATCAACCTCTACTGGCTTCAAATATTTTTTCTGCAGCTTCCTCACCTCTCTGAGCCTTCATAAAATTGTATAAAGTTAGGGTCTTTCTCCAAAATAGGTTTTATCTTAAGGGAATGCTGTGGTTCACTTTATCCATCCAGACCTCTAAAGTTTTCTCTATATTAACAGTAAGGCTGTTTCACTTTATCATTCGTGTGTTCACTGGAGTAGCGCCTTTAATGTCCTTCAAGAGCTTTTTTTCTTTGCATTCACAACTTGACTGTTTGGTGAGAGAGGCCTAGCTTTGGTCTGTCTTGACTTTCAACATGCCTTCCTCACTAAGCTTAATCATTTCTAGCTTTTGATTTAAAGTGAGAGATGTGCAAATCTTCCTTTTACTTGAAGAAACCATTATAGGGTTATTAACTGGCCTGATTTCAACATTGTTGTGTCTTGAGGAATAGGGAGGCCCAAGAGAAAGAGATGGGGAAAGGGTCAGTTGGCAGAGCAAGCAGAATACACATAACACTTATTGATTAAGTTCACTGTCTCATATGGGTGTAGTTCGTGGTGCCCCAAAACAATTACAGTAGTAACATCAAAGATCACTAATTAGCTGAGAATGGTGGCTCATGTTTGCAATCCTAGCACTTTGGGAGGCCAAGGCAGGAGGATTGTTTGAGCCCAGGAGTTCGAGACCAGCCAGGCCAACATAGTGAAATGTTGTCTGTAAAATAATAATAATAATAAAATAAAAAAGGTCACTAATCACAGGTCACCATAACAGATATAATAATGATTAAAAATTTGAAATATTGTGAGAATTACCAAAACATGACACTGCAACACAAAGTGAACACATGCTGTTGGAAACATGACACCAACAGACTAGCTCAAAGCAAGGTTTCCACAAACCTCGGATCTGTGAAAGAATGCATTATCTGGAAAGTGCAATAGAGCAGAGTGCAATAGAACCCTGACTCCCTCAGCGCTTGGCCAGGGGTGGCTTCTGTTCAGGGAGGCAGCATGGAAGGATAAAGATACTTGGGACCTGAGGCCAGATTGTGTTAAGGCTGAATCCTTGTCTGATCACTCACTAGCTGCATGTCCTGGGGCAAGAAAGTGAGGCTTCAAGGGTTTCAGTCTCCTGCTGTGAAATCAAGTCACACCTACCCAATAAACCTGAGATGGGCCAATCAAGAGATGACAAATCCTTGCCCGTGGCCTTCTGCAAAGAAGGTGCTCAAACATGTGTATAGGTCCCTCCTCTACTTGGTTTGCTTTTAACAATCCATTATCCTGGACCTTGAGACATTTTGATGGCTTAAAGCAAGGGTGTCCAGCCTTTTGGCTTCCCTGGGCCACATCAAGTAAAGAGGCATTGTCTTGGGCTGCACATAAATTATATAAAATAGCTAGTGTATATACATAATAAGACTTACTTTTTAATACTTTTTATTATAAAGTTTCGATAATGAAAACAATATGAAACTAGTGGGAACTTGGGCTTTGTTTTTGTAAAACGAATCTATCAATGTTTGGTTCAATGGAAGTGGTTGCAATTCTTAGTGAGTTCTCAAGGTGCTCATCAGAAATGTTTGTTTGAATTTTGCTCTTGGTGTGCTACATAACTGAAAATAGCTACTTACAAATGTATGTGCTGCCAAAAAGTGATGTATAAATAAAGCATGATTGTGAACTTCAAAAATGGAACTACACATGGGGTCACGAAGAAAACAAATGTTGAAAAAAACCCACTGATGTTAAAAGGTTCTGTGAGGCCACAATGCTAGTGTCCTGGGCTGCATGTGGCCTGTGGGCTGTGGGCTAGACATGCCTGCTCTAGACTCATTCATTGAAACACACAAAGTTGAACAAGAGGACATACTTTGATAGGAAACAGCTTCTGGGTATGAGTCAGTAAAAAACCTAGGGCAGATATAGGTTGGGGGGAGAGGGAGAGTAAGAGAGAAAGGGCTCTGGGATCAAGGATGGAGCCCAAGGAAGAGAAGATGTGAAAACAACAGAGCCACACTCACCTCGAAGCCCTCTTGTGGATGACACGACCCAGCGTAACTTGCTGAATTATAGCCATGAACAATCATCTCTCCTTGTGTCTGCCCTCTTTGCCATGAGTCTTTGAGACTCCTTTCACTAAATGCAAAGGACTCTTTCCTACCCTTTGACTTTGGACTCAGTCATGTGACTATTTCAAAAGGACATGGGCAGACATGGTGCAAATAGCAGCTTTATATGTGCCTGCATGTTCTCTTGTCCTTCTGCAGCAACGATGATCAGAGGGGAGTCTTCCCGGAAGCAGCTCGACTGATCTCAAACTCGTAGACTCAGCCCTAAGCAAATATTATAAGCCCAGAAGCTGCTTGGTTTCCCAGGTGGGGCTTCCCAGTGGTCTTTGGGAATGAATTTGTACTGCTGACTGTTGCCTGGTTTCTTTGCAGCTGAGCTGAATCCAACCTCAATTCCTTTCGAAAGATGTTTTGGGGAGACTGCTTGGTGCAACTGAGAACGCCCAGCTCCAGGGGCTGCTCAGACCTGAGTTCTAGCCCCGGATCCACCTCTACCAGCTATGGGACTTTGGGGACATTATATAACTCTCTGAGATTCCTTATCCCTGAAAATGGGGATACAAATCTTAGAGGTCACTCTGAGGGTTGAATGAGATAACCTAAAATGACTTATAACAATGTAGGTGCTCTGTAACTATCATTATTTTTAAAAGTTGACTTTTTGAGACATTTCTTTTTTTTGTGATTCAGAGTCTCACTCTGTCACCCAGGCTGGAGTGCAGTGGCACAATAATGGCTACAACAGCCTCAACATGCTGGGCTCAGGAGATCTTCCACCTCAGCCTTCTAAGTAGCTGGAACTACAGGCGTTCACCACTAAGCCTGGCTAATTTTTCAGTTTATTGTAGAGACAAGGTCTCGCCATGTTGCCCTGGCTAATCCCAAATCCCTGGGCTCAAGCAATCCTCTCACTTCCACCTCCCAAAGCATTGAGATTAGAGGTATGAGCCACCATACTGAGCAACTTTTTGAGACATTTCTGATGAGGGACATGGGACAGACCTGGCCTATGGTGGGTGTCAGACATTAAGCAATAGCAGCCTTTAGACAGAGACTGTGTACCACATCTACCCATAGCCAAACACGCAAGGATTCCAGAGGCTCTGGAAACCATGGAGATTGCTGCCCTGATGACCTGGCCAGGTTGCTCAAGAAGAGATGGACCCAGATGGCCTCTTTGCTCGCTGCCAGCTAGTCAGCTGACCCTTAAATTGTATTCCAAGACTCAATGCTCACAAACCTTCTGCCTATCAGTAGTTTTTTTTCTCCCTTCCTTTTAAATAACCTTATTTTTGTCTTTGTTCCTTGACTGTGGCCTCTCTTCTGCCTCCCACATCCGAGTAAGTTTTGTGCAGATGATAGATGCCTCTGTGTTGTTTTTTTTGCCATCACAAATAGGCCAGGCTGCAATAAGATGATTATTTGGGACCAAGTACCCTAGTGTGGTGGCTTATGTTTGTAATCCCATCACTTTAGGAGGAAGGTTGCTTGAGCCCAGGAGTTCAAGACCAGCCTGAACAACATAGCAAGACCTCAACTCCACCAAAAAAAAAAAAAAAATTTGCTGGGTGTGGTGATGCACACCTGCAGTCCCAGCTACTCAGGAGGCTGAGGCAGGATTGCTTGAGCCCGGGAGTTTGAGGCTGCGGTGAGCTGTGATTGTGCCATTGCATTCCAGCCTGAGCAACAGATCAACTCAAAAATAATTTTAAGAAAACAAAACAGGATGACAGTTTGGCAGTTTGGTGTGATACATCTCTGATCTACCACTGTCTATAACCAAAGCAGCATGCACATGTTCTAAGGATTACACCAAAATTCAACTAGGCAAGTTAGGTGAATGGATGGATATGGGATGGGGGAGGAACTTCCCACCCATGTTTTCTCACCTCTTCTGCTCTCTTAACTCACAGCATCCACACTAATGCTTCCCTCACACTCCACCCCCCATTTATTCCTATTCTTCTTAAAAAAATTTTTGGGTGGCCGGGCTCGGTGGCTCAGCCTGTAATCCCAGTACTTTAGGAGGCCAAAATGAGTAGGCTGCCTGAGCCTGTGGGTTTGAGACCAACCCGGGCAACTTGGCGAGACCTCGTCTCTTCAATAAGTCAAAAATCAGCTGGGTATGGTAGCGCACGCCTGTAGTTCTGGCTACTTGGAAAGCTGAAAGGCGGAAGGAGTGACAGCAATTGTGAGGGCTCTGCTGGCTTATCTGTATATACATGGACACATATACGTTAGAAAATAGACAATAGAAGTGCCCTGTTTCTGCTAAACAATGAGCTAGAGCACTGTAGGTCTTCACCAGATGTTAGGAATAAGCTTTGTTCAAGAATGAAGAGGTTGGCTGGGCATGATGGCTCACACCTGTAATCCCAGCACTTTAGGAGAACGAGGTGGGAGAATAGCTTGAGTCCAGGAGTTTGAGACCAGCCTGGGCAACACAGTGAGAACTTGTCTCTATAAAAAAATTAAAAAATTAGCCAGATGTGAGGGCACACGCCTGTAGTCCCAGCTACTTGGGAGGCTGAGGCAGAAAGATCATATGAGCTCAAGAGGTCGAGGCTGCGATGAGCTGTGATCATGCCACTGCACTCCAGCCTTGAGGACCCCAACTCAAGAGAAAAAGAATTACGAGGCAGAAACAGCAAGTGGGATTTGGCAATCAAGTAGGGGAGTTTATTTAATCAATTAAGGAAATTAAACTGCAAGGGCAGGTTCCCAGTCTTCCCCTTCACATTTTTTTTTTTT